TTAGCAGTCCATCCTCTACTTGGTAGAGATTTTATGGTAGAATTAATTTTCCTCAGAATGGTTCTTACGGATTTGAGGGAGGGTGCTGGTAGGTTTACTGCATGCCTTAAGGAAAAGAAAGAAGATACAGTGGGGCAACGAAAGGGAGTTTTGAAATTCCCTTACCCCCATGTCTCTATGCCTGCCCTAGGACACTTCCCCACAGGGCAGGTCACTAGTACTGATTTTTAAAATAAATTCCCACCCCTTGATTCCCAGTGTTCTCTATGGCACATAAACTCTACACAAGCATAGCATCTGTAAGAGAACCATCTCTGTCATTTCGCTGGAGTTTGGATGTTAAACTGGCTAGAATCCTTTCAATAACAGGGATTCAGTTGGGTTACAAGTAAGGGGGCTTTTTAAGAAACATTTTGAGAATAAAATGTGATGATCATGCTTCAAGTGTTCTTCATTTGAGTAATGCAAGTGTCAAACCGTGGTTAATATTTAGCACTTCGGTATAACCAATAAGAGTTCCATGCTGGCAGGCTGATCTTATTTTTTTATCTACAGAGTTGTAAAATCCATGTGGCCTGTGAGTGATTTGGGAACGGTGAGGAGGGTGGCGTGGGGATGGGCGGGGGTGGGGCATTGTTGCAGCAGTTACTCTAAAACATCAGCAGCATGTTTGAAAGTTAGAAAGAGAATTGCCTTGCATCAGTCTTTAAGCTTTTGCTGACTTCCGTCATTGCTGTGTTGAATAGTAGTGGTGACAATAGACATACTTTCTGTACCAGATCTTAGTGGGAAAGCTTTCAGTTTTTCACCATTGAGAATTACGCTAGCTGTGGCTTTGTCATATATAGCTTTTATTATGTTAAGATATTTTCCATTTATTCCCAGGGTTGTGTGGGTTTTTTTTTTTTTTTTTTTTTTTTTTTTTAGGCTTTTCATCATAAATGGATGTTGAATCTTATCAGGTACTTTCTTGGCCTCTATTGATAGGATCACATAGTTTGCATCTTTTTGTTGACTGTTTTTCTTTTTTTTTTTTAGTTTATTCTTTTAGAGTTCACACGTATTTGAAAACATCGGGCATTTGTCTCTGTCTGATGCTTTCACTTTACATATTACGAGAGGGAAATTCTTTAAGGGATGACGCATGGGACTGAGCTCTGCCTTGCACAGTGTGGCCGCAGCTCGCGTGCTGGCTGGCCTCAGTTCCACTCTAATTGTGGCTGAAGTCAGTGGCCTCCCTGCTCTGTGAAGAAAGATGCTGACAGGTTCTTTGTGTTGCAGGATGACAAACTGCCTGATGCTTGGGGCTGTGGCTTTTACCCTTAAGAGGAATGTGCTCTTTTTCTGTTTACATGAACCTGCTGATTTGCTGAGGGTTGAAAAAGCAAAGAGCTTTCTTTCCCTTAGAATCTGCCATCACATTTTGGCAGACTTCCTCCCCTGGCTTAGCAAATGCTCTGTTGTTTGCAGATGTCACAATAGATTCTTGGACACGAAGCTGTGTTGAGGTTGTGAGAAACAGCTAGAAACACCCCTGCTCAGCATCATCGCCCAAATCATGGACACAGGATTTGAGGTCACCTAATTGTGTGATCCATTCGAGGCAGTGGCTGACTCTTGGGTTCTTTTCCAGATACTTCCAGTAAAGAAAAAATTAGTTATGTGTTATTTGAGATAATTGATATTGGTGGTAATAGCTTTACTCATCTTTCTGTTCCCTTTCAGGCTTGTTGATTTTAAAGAGTGAGTGAGTGAGCGAGAGAGAGAGTGAGTGTGTGTGTGTGTGTGGTGTGTAGTGTGTTTTATGTATGTATATTTGCCCTCCAGCAGCCGTTTGCTCCAATCTGGCAAATAGGCATTTTATATGGTAATTTTGAAAATGTGCATTATGCACTTAATGGATCACAGCAGCTTTGCTCAGGTTTTTTCAGAATTGCTCTCTTTCAAGTTGGGGGAAAAAAGGCCTTTTTCTTTAAAAACAAAACAGTGTCTGCAGTGCTTGTGTTGGCCACGGGGTTTTTCTGGTGAGGATCATTGATCCAACTGACTGAAACCAATTTTATATCCAGCCTCAGACATTCCGTGCACTCAGATTGTGTGAAAATTCTTTGCAAAATCATTTTGGCTTTAAAAGATTACTGGGTATATATTCCAACTGAGAATTTAACATTGCTCTTGACTAATTTCCCTATCTTTCGTTTACCCAAGAAACCCTTTGTTGTGTTAACTGTAAACATCACCATAAAATTATTTTCTTAAATAACTGCGTAACTAAAGAAGAAGAAGGGAGTGTTTCTTATGAGTATTTGGCCTCGTTTTAACCTTGCTTTGAAAATTATTAAGAGCAATTATAAGTAGGCTTTTTTTAACCTGGTGTGAGACTTGAATTCCAAATTGTTTCTTAGAATGTGTTCATTTAGGTAGATGATAAAGTGATGCATTTTTTTCCCCATTCCTGTGGCAAGTTTGACATGGTGTAAGACTTTTTTAATCCAGGTTATCCCATGACCTTGGTCATTCTGTTTTCTGATTACATCTGTAAACTAAGCTCTTAAATTTTATCCCTTAATTTTGCAGGGAGCCTATCTGATCTATTCATGTGTAAATTCAAGATACTGATAGAGATCATTTGCTGTCATGATAGCTTTTACAGATTGCAAGCTTTGCCATAGCAACTTTGTAAACACAAAGACTTGTTTTTTTTTAATCAAGTAATGCAGTTTTTTTGCCATGTGAGCTTTAAGAAAGTAGAAGCCCTTAGTTAGGACAGGACCTGTTAAATTTGAAGTCAGTGAATAGTAGCTCGAAGTGGCAGTGTTACGTCAGGAGATCTGTAAGGTGTGGTTTTATGTAGTGAGCCTGTTGAAGAGGAGGGTGTGTAGGTTGTGGTTAGTTTTCAGCTGGAGCGAGATGAGTAAATAGTTGAATGGAGATTTGAAATACCAATAGTGGGTTCAGCAGGACTTGGGACACAAAAATTAAGAATGCTTTGTTGTTCCAACATTGTGCAAGTCAAAGCTACAATTTTTGTCTAGGGAAAGAGTTTCTTCCATTTTTTTTTTACTAGAATCCCAAATTGGGAGGTGGGAGAAGACATAAAGGAAAAGTTCTTTGACCCTTAAGGGGATCAGTTTATTAAATGCTAGTTGCCAGAATGTTGCCCATTATTCAGCATCCTGGGCCTGGGACAAAGCTCAGTCAAGTCCTAGCTGCTGCTTTTCATTGCTCCAGGGACCACGTCTCTGTTGCTGAGTCTACATCTGAATGGAGAAGTTGGGAATTCTTGATGCCTAAGCAATCAGCATTCAGATTTGCTTTTTTTCTGAAATGGCTATGAGCTACAAAAGTCTTGTGTCCATCAGAAGTTTCTTGGGAGGAAGCCCTTTAATGAGGGTTTCTGCAGTACCTCCCTCGGGCCGTGCTGTGCTGGCGCTAGAGTGTTCACCGGTGCATAGCCCCAAATCTCAGTCCTTGGCTTTTTCTTCACTCTTAACATGTATCAAATGAGGCAGTAGAGGAACCTGTCTGGTGTTCTCAAGCATCTGAGTTTGTTCTAATGTTATAGAGCAGCCCCGATATTGAACGGGTTGCCTGGCTGTGGGTCCTCACCCGCGCGCTTACAAGGGACTTATTAATACCCCACTGCAGGCACACACGAAAGGTTAATAAAAGGTTTATTTACAAGGGAAAAGGAAATAAGGAAAATGGACAACTCAGGGAGAAAATAGGGAAATAAAGTCTTTAATGCGTACTACCCGATCCGCCACCCTGGAAACCCAAAGTCACTCTCAGAGCTGGCCGGACGCTGCGAGCTGGCGGAGAGTCAAAATGGGGGACCCCTCCAAAGCCCACGTGTCTGGCTTTATACCACCCTGGCTGCTGAACCCCACCCTCAGGTCCCAGCCACCTTCCCTTGGGTGGTGATGGGATTTGGAGTTCCCAGTGTCTTTGGCTTTGGCCTGGGGTGGGGATGGAGTCCACAAAGCCTGTATGGAATCAGCTTTAGGACAGCCTTTTCCCCCTAACACTAAGACAGATATGTTGTGAAGGCTCATGAGGGAGGACAAAACAAATGGCATTTTAAATTTAAATGGCATAGTGCCTTGTGGTTACTCCCCACAGAAAGTTTGATTGACTCCAGGTGCCTTTGCTTCTCAGCAAATAATATATAGACTTTCCTGTCCAAAGCTTTATGATCTTGGGTTGTAATTTTGGGGAGGTTATCTCTTTATAGCTACTGATTCCCTTAAATTCATGAGCTAAAAAAAAAGTACCTCAACCTGCCTTTTAAAGAGCTACCGGTTAGACTCCAGCTGTTGAGAGCATCAAAGATAATGGTCCAGCCACTGCCATGTTAGATGTAATTGAAGACTCCCTTTTCCCTGAGGAATGTAACTGTTTCACTTCATTCCATCTCTGATTGGCTGCCTTGGTTTTTTTACAGTTAGAATATAAAATGCATTTAGGTTAAATTTTAATAGCAAGTTATCCATAAGATACTAGATTTGCTTTCTTTTTCTTCCTTGGTTTAGGTGAAGTTTATTGTAATAGCATATTCAAGCTAGTCTTCTTTGAGTTTTATTTCTGTCCTCACAAAATATTTACTGAAAATAAAGTATCAATTGGCAAGGCCATTTCTCTTTGTGTAGACATGGAACAACTCTGTGAATCAGAGCTTCAGATTCTGTCTTGATATGTAACCATGAGCAAATAATTCCTTAATACAGGTTTCTTCATATGAGTATGTGGGTAATTCCATGGTATTTTTCATGCCCTTCTTCAGGGAGCCTGAAAATAGTAATTGAGACTTTGTCAGATTCTTTAAATTATCAGAAATATGGTCAAAAAGAACCCAAGGACTGTTTTTGTAATATCACCTTTGAAAATACATTTATAATAAAATGTGCTTTGTCATTTATTTATGCAGTGCCTTTATGGGCCCTGTCTTTGTTCCCATAAAGGTAAATGCCATTGTTTTAAAATTTCTTTTTCTTTTAAAGACTGTGTGTATATCGAGAGTCGGAGGCCAAACACACCGTATTTCATCTGTAGCATTCAAGACTTCAAACTGGTAAGCATCTTCAATGTGCTGTGACTGCTGCCTTCTCTTCCCCCAGCGCTTTGGTTGTCTCTTGATGCTTTTCCATCCATGTTGACTTGGTAACCTGTTCCCTTTCTGAGCGCTTCCTGCCTGGTGTCTGCAGCTCAAATAAGGCAGTTACCGATTCTACCTCTTCCAATTTGTAACAGGTACTATTATAAAGCTCATAATGCAAATAATGTTTCCTAAGGTTTCATTCCTTTAGTAGGTGTTTTGACTACAATTTTAGGGATTCCCTTGAGCTCAAGTATTTTGTTTCTTCTCAGCTATCTTAGAGACTGAAGTAAAATTGGGATTTAATCAATTGGAATAAAGAATATATGTAAGTGGCCAGAGATTAGTTTTTAGTGGCAACTATAATTTACTTATTAGCTATTTTAGCCAGTGTGAAGTATATCTTCAACTTTTTTTTTTTTTTTTTTTTTTTTTTTTTGGGTGGTCTCGCAGTGGTGGAGGGTGGGGGAAAGAAGTCTGGTTCCTCAGAGTGATGTAACTACAATACTTTCTCATTAAGAGCTTTCCACATGTGCATGAGTCCCGCTGCTGTCCGTTCTCAGATTTCTTGGTTTTAGACCAGTGGTTCCCACACTTGGGGCTTTGGATCCCAGCATACCTGTGGGGGTTTTATAAAGGTCTGCAAATAAACATTCTCAGCCTTAAATACACCTCATGCATGCATGTACAGTTGCTTTTCAAATTTATTAGTATGTTGCTGTGACTTTCAAATCTTGCTTAATCATAATGGCACAGTTCAGAATCACTATTTTCTATGTATAGTTTCCTCAAGCAATTGATATGTAAAATACCGTTCAAACATTGTCATTTGGGGCTCTTTGGAAAACCTTTTCATCTTAGGGATTCTTGAACTTCAAGATTGTGAACCACTGTCTTAGGTGTAGAGAAATATCAAATCTTCAGCTTTGTAAAGATACGTTTCAGCACCTGTGATCTGAGGACCCTTATTCCCAGAACCCTTGATACTTCAAAGTATTTTGTGTTTTGACAAACACTGTCTGTGGTATTTCACTCAGAAGATAGTAATGCAGTTTGAAGAGACCTTTAACTCTGCATCTCCTTTCCTTGTCATTTTCAATGACCCTAAATGTCCATTTACTATACTCTGATTTAGCTAGGTAGACATTACATGCCAATTATTTTTCTTTATTAAAAAATGATTGCATAAATGTAAACAGTAAACATGCTTACTGTTTTAAAAGAAAGTCAAATATATTTATTCTCAGATTTACTTAGTTTTGGTAGCCTGCTTTTAACGTCCCTGGTGGTTTGCAAGGTGGCCTTGCAGTTTAATTTTGTAAATAAAATGCTTTCTGTTCAGATTTATGTCAACATGATGGTTTATCATTTTAAGAAGTCTTTGCTGTTTATTCTGTGTTTCATTTGAAAGGTTTTTTTACAGATGCTGCGCTGACATCTAAAAATCCGGGCGGTGGCCTTGTTTCCCGAGGAGTCCTCTCTTGCCTAGTGGCTGCTGCCTGCCCCGCGCTTTCCGAGTTCCCTGTCTTTTTGTGTGGTTTTCACCAAACATAATACCAGTTCACCACGGAAAAGATAAAACTGTGAAATAAAATTGCAAAGATTTTTTTTTTCACCTTAGATTCAGAGCCTCTTTTGTACAATTTTGCACGTTAGCAGCAGTGCCTTAGTGTTTGAAGAGCATCTCCTATGAAATGCTGATTACACCGTGATAGTTGCTATTCGGGGCAGAGGTTCCTGCTGAGTTACAGTAATTGCTCAGGGTATTAACAGCAATAAAAGCTGAAGCTGCTGTTGTCAGTATTGGTCTAGTACAACACATTAAAGCTGTCTGCAAAAACAATGTAGGAAAGCAGGGTGCAATATGTTTAGGTACCTCTGTCTAAATCACAGTCTGCTATGGCTTATATTTTGTGTAAGTTCTGTATTCAGCACACATTCTTATTTGTGTAAGAATAACAGATAATGAAGTGTGTGCCCTGGAAGGAATGCAATTATTGTCTGAATACCTGTCTCTTTCCTTGGTTCTTAATGCTACTTATGAAAAGATAACCTAATAGATGGGAATAATCCTAGATTTCCCCCCCTTCAGCTTGCCCAAGCTCTAAGGTGAAAAGATGAGCAGAAGGAGATACGCACTGTTTCTCAGCGAGATTTTGTGGAGAAGAGAGTGGAGCTGGTTTTGCCCACCGCAGAGTCCATGTGTAGCAAGTGGAGCAACGGAAGAAGGAGATCCAGTAGCTTTGCAGTGTCGATTGATGATGCGTTCTGTCCTTTCAGCTTTTGTTTTTCTTTTTTCTTTGGCTTGGGTTGTGATTGGGAGATGTGTTCCTTTTTTTATATCATAAATGAGAATTAGCTCCTTTACCATGGTTTTTGAGGAGGAGTATATTTGGGGAGTGTAAGATGAGCCAGAAGAATGTCCTCGCTGGTGCCTGTGAAGTAAGACTTACAGTATTAAATACACCAGGAGCTTAGGGATTGAGAAGTGGGCGTGAGGAGACATCGACAGCCAGTCCTCAATACTGACATAATGCCGGATTTTTAACCCGAGCACCCGGGGTAACATTTCATGGTCTAGTTTTGTGTGAGATGGGAGGCTCTTTGTGCTGGCTTCTAGAGACTCTGAGTCCATAGTGTGGGACAGAGCCTCCGCGATGCTCATGTCTGTCTGTTGTCCTGGCAAATTCTAGCCTCTGCACTCCAGCTCAGAGATGTCCCACGTCGGACGCTTGTTTATTGGTCATCTTGCCTGTGGAAGAGGGGTCCATGGCTTCTGCTCTGTTGACATTTAACCATCAAAATACAACAAGGCCACTGCCATCCTGCATTGTTCCAGGTATTCGGAGCATATGCTTTCCCCAGGGTAGGTGGGTGCTATAGTGGTGCAAAGTGTAACTGGGTTCGCGTTGGAATGTCGGTGGTTTTGGAACAGAGGTTTTTGAAGGGAAATGAGTTTCACATGTTCTGTTAAGAAGCTTTTGTTTTCATGTCCCCCATTAACATGGAAAATCTGGGTTTGTTTGACCAAAACAAGAGTATCTATGAACAGGCAGTCAAAAGTCAGGGAGGGCTCAAAAGAGCAGAGTGGTAAGGTGGAATTATGGATAGGGTATGCTTAGAAGCAGGGAGAAAGGGTGGAGCCATCCATTAAATAAGACATCTGGCACCTTAGGCCTCTGAACTTAAACACTCAACTAGTGGCCAAATCTTTAGCGCTTGGAAAAAGAATAGTAATGTGGAGTGGCTGTCAGTGGTCACTGTGGCCCGACTTGAGAAGAGGAATTGATGGACTGAAACAGTTAGCAGTGGGGGAGAGCCGAATGGATGAACCCAGAATTGTCTCAAAGCAGAGAGGGTTGGGCGGTCATGAACAGGTCGTAGGCAAACTCAGGTGGTGGGGCAGGAAGCCAGGAAAAGCCGAGGATCGCAGCACCTGTGCACAGAGCAGTAGCTGGGCCAGGCAGCGGGGCGCTCCCCCAGCACTCCCGCGGCCCACATGCTGACGCTTCTTCCCAGTGGGCGCACATCACTGTTTCCTGTCAGTGGGGCCTCTGTTCTCAGGCCAGCCAGAAGAGCCTGGTGTGGCATCTTCAGCTCTCCTGCGCGCCATAGCTGCCCTCGGTCCCCACGTGACTTTGCCTGGAGAGTTTCGTTCTGGAGTGAGTCGGTGTCATCAAGGAGCGCTACATTCCAGAATGCGATTAAGAATGCTTTGGTTTGTAATTATTGCCACAGACGAGACATTTACTGAACCCCTGCTTTGTGTTTTTTGTCACGTGCAGCCCCCATGGGGGACTGAGGGTGCAAGGTGCAGCGCCTGCCCTCAGTGGCCGTGGGCTCTGGCGGGACCAGCGGCTGTGGCACTGTGTGGGCACGCGTCCTCTGTAGAGCACTCTGAGTGGGATTGGTGTAGAGGAAGCCGTTCACACTTTGTCCTAAAAGATGGGTTTCTTTCTTGCTATCACTAAAAATACAGTAAAATTCCATTTTTATAGAAATCTAGGCCTTAAGCATAATAGAGATAATTTGCTATCTGGAAATAATTAGGGGTTTTGAGAATGCTAACCGGAAACTCACCGAGATTATAATTTTAATTCAGTGTAACATTAAGAAATTCCTTGTCTGACTCTAATAATAATAGTTCACACCTAATTCCTCATCAACAGAAGCATAATCAAAGTCCTTCCTTTAAGATCATACATGGGAATTCTTTGCAGATTCTTAATGAGTTTTCATCATTGGTACAATAGGAAAGGGTATGACTTTGGTTTTCTAGAGTTACATAATTATCAACTTTTTATCTGTTGTACCAAATTAATTACCAGGTAGGACATCTACTTATTACAAATATTATTTTGAGCAAATGCCACTGATTCCTTTTGGCTCCTGTTTGGTTTATTAAAGCTGGGAAAGTTGTTATGATTAAACCTGTTGTAGAGATTTCTCAGAATACAGGGTGTCTGTCACTGGGGATATCGTATTGTTTCCAGTATCTGCCGGGGCACAGTGAATGGCTGTGGCTCTGCGCGTGAGGCTATGCCATGTGCCGCACTGTCCCTACTGCTCACGTTCTGAGTGCTGATGGAGGGTGTGGCATGACCGACACATGCATTGGCACCAGTTCACTTTGGAGAAGGCTCATCTCCATTACTGCTGTGAATGTAGGAGCCAAGTTGGTCAAGACTTAGTACCATAGCTCTCGTCAGTGAAAGCTGCTGGGGAAAGCTCATTTGGCATTTCTCTCTGATTTCTGGCCTGTGCCTATAACCCAACCCCAAAAGTGGATTGCCACGGTAGAGCCAAAGAGGGCCTACAGGGTTAATTAGCTTCAGCTTAGGTTCTGCTCTTCAGTCTACCTTTGAAATTGTCCTCTCCACTCCAAATTTAGACTCGGAGAGTGGATTAAAAATAATAAGCTTCTTTTCCTTCTTTAAAATGAGAGTTTACAGAGGATCAGTAGTAATTGTATTTTCTCATGCTTTTGGTGAGAGATCTTGACATCAGCAATGCTGGGAGATGCCACTGGAGACGGCGCTCCGTGCACCCTGTACACACACCTGTGCGCACACAGAGACCATGCCCCACCGCCCCAACCTGACGCTTGTCACTGCTCAGCAGGCAGAATGTCCAGTGTGTGGGTGTTTAGCAAATGGACACTCGTTTTAATATTCAGCAAGTTTTGCAGTAGACACATTTTGGGGCCACAATTCCACATTGTTGAACATGGTTCATTCAGAATTTGAGGTTATTCTGGGACTGAGATGAGGGTTGCGAGCTTGACTTTGACAGCTTTGACTTTGCTTCATCAGTTGCTATCATAGAATACGGGGTGTGTATTGGACAGGACAATACCACCTCTTAACCTCGCTTTATCTTCCTGTGAAGTTGGGGTATAGAGTAGCTAACTTGGCGAGTAGCTTGGTTTTTAGATGAAAAGCTCAAGACTGCAGAGTGGACGGTGTGGCCCCAGCCTGCAGGGCAGTGACGGTACTCACACCGCTGCCCTGCCGCGTTGCTCCAGGGATGGCTCCGTAGGGGCAGAAACCAGCCCATGTCACCCAGCATGTCGCCTGGCCCACTGGGGAGCCACTGGAAATGGTTTGCTCATAATCGCATGAAGCAGTGTTCAGAGGAAAAAATTCACTGCATAAAGTTTCCCCAAATGCGAGCAGTGGTGTGAGACAACGCACACGGTAGCAGCGGCTCAGCCTGTCCTCAGCTGGCTCTGCTGCTTTGTCTTTGGGTTGCTGGCATGATGGTTTTTTATGTTTTTAAATAATAAAGCCATCCATAAGATACCTTACAACTCAGTTTCTTATTGTTTTCAGGACGTTGCTATGAGTAGAGCCAAAGTCATACATTTTTTTGAACATTATTACAATCTTTTGAATTTTCAAAATGACTGACTTTTAGCGAAGAAAAATGAGGGCTTAGTTTTTATGTGAACGTCCCAGAGAAAATCAACTCTCAGAAAAATGCCTTCGGGCATTTCTGTGTGACTGAAACAGTGGTTGTTTTTGACTTCTGATTTTGATAGTCCTATAGTTCTCTTTTCTCTTTGCCCTCTTGGCTCATCCCTTGAAAGGCTAGAACCACCAGGTGCAGCTTTGTGCCCTGAGTGTGGTGTTGAGTAATGATGTGAAGAACCTTGAGGTGTGCTGTCAGTGTTTTCAGTTCATTGAGTCAGGACTTCAGTGTTACCAAGAGATCTGATGGCATGCACCGCGGGGGTACATCTTTGAAAGTTGGTGTTTGCTATTGGTTGGCCCTCCTTGTCAGAGCGACAGCACTCTTCTGACCAGTCAAGAAAAGGTGTGCGCTTACACGCTTCTGATTTGATGCCCGTGCTTTCTTCTGGAGGCCACACCTCTCCCACCCTCTTTATATATATATATATATATATATATATATATATATATACAGGACATGTTCCTTTGTTATCTGTAAGCTTTGTAGCAACACGGAGGTGATGGGCTGATTTTGGGGGCTGATTTTTTGCTATCTGATTGGAGCAAACCACCAGTATTAAGTATATGTGCAAGGACTGAGTGTCTTCGCTTGTAAATTTGAAGCTTACAATTTTATTTAATCCCTTTAAGAGGCAAGAGCAGGATGAAGTCTCCTAGACTAGGTAGATGGACACTGCAAGATGAGAGACGCTGTTGGGTGTGTGCACCACTGTGGCCCTCGTCTCTAGATTTTTGAATCACCACCGCCTCTTTGCATGACCTGAATGTCCGCTTATAAATGGAGGGGGTACTCACGTAAGTGAAATCAAAATGAGACTTTGGGAATAAATAATCTCAGAGCATCTTATTGGCCCCATTTATTCAGTTTCTCAGCGGTCTGTTTTCACTCAGGACTGACAGTCATTTCGGCCCGTGTGGCAGTTCAACTTCTCATGGTTTGTCGTTGCTGTGAAATTAGATAATTTATTTTCACCGAATTTATTTGAATTTTGGGACTCTAAGATACTAAGTTTTTTGTTGAATTACATTTATTTCCACAAAATATTTACCAAAATGTTATTTTACTAATAAACCTATTCTCTATATGTGAAAATTTTTCAATGCAGAGAACTGTGTATTCTGATATTTTAAAAATGAGCTTAAGAAACTTTGAGAGAATCTGATATTTGCAGGGAACTGCTGTACAAGAATATTGGTAAGGTCTTATTCAAACTTGATTCCTTAGAGCTAGAAATGTATAATTTCTGTATATGTGGATGTTTGTGTAGAGAGCCAGGAAAAATCCACCAGAAGAATGTAAAGAAAATTAGGGAAACGGAGATAGTGTCATTGTGATTTTAGTTGTAAACAGTGATGCCCTTAGGAATGATACCTTTCCTTATGCTTAAAGTATTTTAATGATTACTTGAACTTTTGCATGTTAAAAAAATGCCAAGTTTACTTAGAAATGTTTTACTAGGTGTCTTTTTGTTTAAAATTCTTGATTTGAATAAGAATTTGAGTTATCTCACTAATTGAATTCCTATTGCAATAGATCGATGGTAACTTAATATTTGATGCTTATGGTAAAAAAATACTAAGTTTACTCTGCATTTGATTGCACAACTGAATCTTTGACTTGGGATTTGTAGTGCTGGTGTGGGGAAGAGGGTGTGTGGTGGAGAAGGCCTGGTCCCCACAGGCGGTACCACGCCTGTCCCTGAGGCAGTGGGGTTTCCACCTGGCTGCACAGTGTCCTGTGTGGTGCCCAGAACGTCCTCTGGGGGTGATCTGTAGAGAAAGAAAACCATCATGGTACAGCCATTCGCAGTATTGGCTTATTTTCTTGGCATTTGTCTTTTTTGTTAAGAGACATACCAAAAAAATGGAGCGTATTAAAGTCTTTGATTACAGGAAGTTGCTAGAGAGTGATTTTTTGCTTCTCAAAAGTAATAATGTGTAACAGGACTCCCTAAAAATGATTTGAAGTAAAAAAAATTCTGTAATTTTTGAACAACTCTAAGAACAGATATCTCATATAAGCATTTGGATATTACGGGTTTTTTTGTTCATTTAAAACCACATGAGATTGAATTGGTTAAGATTTTTGGAAATGTTTTATGCGCTCTGGAGTATGTGAGAGGGAACAGTTTATTACCCGGGAAATTTTTGGTACTTGTGAGGACTGTGCTGGCTTTCAGAAGTTGCTCTCTAATTTTTTGCTGGAAAATGTTTTCATAGTTCAGTCGGGGGACAAAAAAGGAGACATGATACATCCCAAACTGGTTTTGCCCCTAAAAGAAACTGTTTTCTTGGACGTGATGCTCTGTGCCTTTCCATCGCGCTTACCTGGTAGGCGTTGCGAGACAGCCAAAACTAATTTGAATGGCATCTTGATTTTTCTCTGATGTTGAGGCTTTGTCTTTTACCTCACCTGTAGCTTTACAAATTATACTAGGACTTTGAGAAAAATGGTAGCTCTTTCCTTGCCTCTCCTCCCTCCCCCAATGTCTTGAATTTCCTTATCAAAGTACCTGTCTTGGGCCTCTAGCATCTCATTAGAAACTCTTCTGAAAGCTAAATCTGTCCACTGTTGGTTCATTTCACAGTTGTGTTTATTTGACACTATTGAATTGTTGTTTTTGTCACAAGCAGAGCATGCCACTGTCACTGTGCTTTGGCACTGTGTCACATCTTGGTTATTTTGAGGGGCACACACCATACTATTTTATGACAGGACCCAGATTAAAGTTGGAGCCAAAAGGATCGCATGCTTGTTCACTCTGAAATGAGGAAACACCTCTGATCAATGCAGAGAAATTGTCTTTAGTAATAGAACAAATTCTCTGAGCTTTCAGAGGCCATCTGCTAGAGGATTTGCGCAGATACCTGCTTGTGTGCTGAGTGCCCCTAGTAACCAGGGCATGAGGGGACATTGGGCATGTTAACTTAAAACTGTTTTCTTTTTTAGGTCCACAACTCCCAGGCCTGTTGCAGATCTCCAACTCCTGCTTTGTGTGACCCCCCAGCATGCTCTCTGCCGGTGGCATCACAGCCACCACAACATCTTTCTGAAGCCGGGAGAGGGCCTGTAGGGGTAAGGAGAATCCCGTTTTTAAAAGCTATCAATATTTTATATCCCATAGGGTATAAAATAGGAATATTACCTCCCTCCCCAGAGCCCCTTTAAAAATGTGCTGTATTGTATGTGTTTTTAAAGGAGTAACAAGTACATGCACAGAGGAAGCAAAATACGGGACTTGCCTTACCCCTCTAGGACAGTTCCAGAAGTTAGCGGGGTTTGGTGGTGTGTAGGGTATTTGGGCACCAGCAGAGAGCATGCTGGGCTGCTGCAAGGAGCAGGAGCTGGCAATCAGCAGCGAGTATGGATGTTGGCAACTGAAATGGGGGACAATGGGGGTAAGTTTGAGTCCAAGTGGCGTGTGCATTTCCCAGGATCATTGGGACTCATGACCCACGGATCTAAGCTGTGTTTGGCGCTGTCCTCAGGTGCTGTCTTCTAGGGTACTGTTCAGAAGTAGCTGGACTTCTCTGCGATGCCAGGTAGAGACTAAACACTTGGAAAAGGTCTTGGGTTGGGGGTAGATATAGTGCTCTCAGCTCTACCCTGTGGCCCCCCTGGTTACCTGGTGGTCATGTGGGGAGTGTGTGAGGTGCAGCAGGATAAACGTCTCCAGTGTTTCATCCCTTAGGACTCAGGGCCTGGTATTAGTGAGCCATGAGGGTTATTTTTGTGTCATGCATCTCACCTTTTATGAAAGCTATGTGTACACCTGTCTTTGTTTTCCTTCCTTTATGAGGACTTAATGGTAAAGTTTTTTGAAAGACAAGTGTTTATTATTCTGATTGACTTTTGGGTACCTGAGACAGCTGTCGTCACTGAGCAAGTGTCTACCTGTCTTTCTCTTGGATGTAATCTGGCTGCAGGGCTCCAACTCACAGTCAATTAGAAAATGACACAAGAGAGTAGTCACTGCACATACTGGCAGGCTGTGATGAATTCGCCACTTGCTGTGTAGAATGTCAGTATCCTGAGAGTAAGAAAGGATGGCTCCAGGTGGAAAGTTTGGTGCAGGTTTTGAGGCACTGGGTCTGTTTTGATATAACAGTGACATGTGGAAGGCAGCGCGGGTGCCTTCCGGGTGTACAGGTGCCTCTCCCTGTAAGCCGTGTATGCAGTGGGCCTGGCGCAGCGGGGACTTGTGAGAAGAATGACCGCAGCACGTCAATGAAGAGCACAGGTTAGTGGGTTTTGGGAGGCAGAGGTGGGAATGTCAGGTAAGGCTGGGTCTTAGATGTCAGACAAGGCAAGATTTTATGTGCTCTGCAGAAGGGAGCCTTTGCAGGCTTTTTCATTCCAGGCAAGCTGACTTGCAAGTGTGTAGAGTGCAGTGTGGGCTGGGGAAAGGCTGAGAGTTCCAGCTAAGTGGTGGGCTGCCATCCGTGCGTACGATGAAGAGGACCCGTGGAAATGGGATATTAGTAATTTGACAAAGTCAGGGATAATTGTCACAACAATTTCATGTTTCGAGAGCTGCCGGTATAATTTATCCAGAATTCGACCAGGGAAGAGGTTCACATCATGGAAACCTTGGAGTTCTTGGTATAATAGCCATTCACAATAAGATAAAACCCAACACAGTGGATGAAAGTCTAATTTTAATCCCTAAAGAGATGTTTCAGCATCTTAAGGGACAAGTTAGCGGAGTCCTGACTGACTGCCTACTTAAAAGGCTTCAACCGACTGTCGTCTTGTTTCTATGTCTAAGGAATTGGATGGTTTTTATGTTTCAGGCTGATACTTTCTTTTTTATTCCCTAATCATTGTGGGATTGTTTAATTTACTACGGTACTCGCTCACCGGGATTTGCTTGCTAAATGGATTTAGAATTTTGCCCTTAGTAACACTGAATTTTGGATATACTCAGTGAGGTTTTGTTATAGAGCAACCCCGATTTGGGACCGCCTTTTCCCCCTAACAGTTTGAGTACCTTTTAATATTAGCACTAGCGATGACCCATATTTATTTTCTTTGCAGTTAAAATTGCAGTTGTGTCTATTAGGAATTTAAATATGTTCATGATTGGTGGTATATTCAGATACCATCCCCTGCGGTTTTGAGAAGATTGTGTAACAAGATGATAAATCTTCTTTCAGTCAGGGTGGTGCTGCGTGAAGCTAACCGTACTGATTGTACTTGAGCAACGTGCGTGCAGTCGGCATCACTGGAGCTGGATCTGAATCGGATCCAGTTGGCAAAGCTGCCCCCGTGTGTGGGGCCCTCATCAGTTCTTCAGGCACAACAGATCTAATACAGTATAATGAGAGCTGCTGGGCGGGGAGATTGATTACCAGGTTGCAGACAGTGTCATTAACACTTCTTGGCACGATACACCAGATGTCTTCCCTAGTAGGCTGTTATTGCTAATTTAGTTTTTATAGGATAGCATTGATTGCATCATAATTTAACTTTCTTTGCATGCTCTTGTGTATATGACCTGTGTGTCTACAGTAATGACGGCATCAACTGATAAGATCTAATTTTATAAATTTTCACTAATGTGTTCACTTTTAAAGTATCTGGTGCTGGAAAGGCATCTTATTTATTGTTAGTGTGGATATTTTCTAGCAAAAAGTATTGTGCTTCTCATAGTTTGGGGGAGGTGAGGGAGGGGAGGCAATGGAAGCACTTTCCAGATCTTCTGTAGCCTGGGCAGCGAGATCCTGGACTCCTCTCACCAGCTGCGGTCCCCAGCCGCTCTGTGGCGGCCGGACCCACACTCAGGAAAGGAGGCAGCACCCGGAGGGCTGGCCGGTGCCTCTCTGGGGGCGGGCCGCTCTTCCGGCTGGGGCTCTTGTTGACTGAGCCTGTCCGCTTCCTCTTCTAGGAAATCAAGGGCTTGGTAAGAGGATTTAGTAATTTAGCATTTTTATTTTCTAGCCCTTTCTAAGACCTCTGTTGAGCGTCTGAGTACGGCAGTCCTGCAGCAGTGGGGCCAGCGTGTTCATTTCAGTACTTTAAAAAAAAAAAAGACTGGTCTTGTTTTTGCTGCATTATCCTTTAAAGGCTATTTTTCCGTCCTGGTGTGTTCTTACGTAATGTTGGACGTGCTGATCAGTCTTTCGAGCCCTTGCTCACTTTTCCAGTGGATGAAGGCTCCTCCTTGTCTCCAAAGGGTGGTTGCAAAGATTAATGCAAGAATTCGCTGAATGGCGTAGCGCAGCGGCGCGCATATCATAAACATTACCTGAGCAGTATCTGTGGCCACGGAGACTTTTGTGACACAAATTTAGTTTTTAACTTATTTGTTAGTGTTTCCGACGCTTGACCCTCTTTACCGGACATCGGCAGACCCTTAGTGAGGCTCTATGCACTTCCCGAAATCCCTTGGAAAGCTTTGTATATGTGTGTATTTCTCTGGAGAATATACTTTTCCATCTTAGATTCTCATCAGTGGACTACTAAGATGTTGGAAAAAAAATTAAAAATTACGAACTGCTGCTCTGTAAAGACTCTGGTGGGTCTTTTAAGATCTCAAACCAGTTAGTTATTAAAGAAGTAAATTGACATTGAACAAACATTTACGTTGTGGCCAGGCCTCTGCTGTTCTTTCACAGAATTGAACCCATCTAATCACCACAGTAATCTGTGACACTTATTTTTATTTTTTAAATGAGAAATGTTGAAGTTTACATTCGTATAAGATTGTGTCTTAGCGGCAGGACCGGAACGGGGTAACAAGTCCTGGCCTTACGTCCCCTTGACTTTCATGACCCACCTCTGTGCTTCCCAGGTTGACCCCGTGGTGGCGTCCACTTTTGCCTCCACCTTCTGCTCTCCTCCTCTGGCTGGAGCTGAAGGTGTCCCACCCCGAGCCCTCCGCAGGCGGGCCCTCGGCCTTGAGCAATGGTGTCAGACGTGTGGTGTGAGAAGCCTTTTTTAAGTGTTAGCCAGTCTTTACTTCCCTGTAGCACTTGTGGTGGACATACATTTAGTGTCCTTTTGTTTAAAAAATGCATCACCAAGGGCCTCCCCTGGTGGCTCAGCAGTTGAACGCTAGGCTACGAAGCTGCCCTCAGCCTCTGCAGCGCCGGTTCGATCCCCGACCACCAGCGAGGGTCCCACATGGCACGACAGACCTCTCCTGCCGTGCCCGCTGCTCCCCTCAGCAGTGTATTTCATTGGTCTGCCTTTTCTGTTTCCTGCTCTGACTCTGGTGAATTCTCTCACCTTCCCGCACTTCTGACTGTACCCAGTGCTTGTATAAATAAATAAATAAATAAATCTTTTAAACAAATAAAAAATGCATCACCAAGAGCTGCTGTGAGACATCTTTTCAGTCATCTTAATATTACCTGTATGCACGGGAGGAATAATCTCTGTGGTCTGTGGTGTTAAGTGTGTTTGTTTCAAGCACAACTTCATGAAGCCTGCATGAAATTGGGCTTTGCATTACCCTTGAGGAAAATCCAGCCCACCGATCTAGGGGAACCCGCCCCACTGACCCAGGGCACCGAGAACCCAGTGGCTTTCCCCAAGCCCCTGCTTCTCTCTGGGCTGGTGCTGGGCGCCGGGCAGGCGCCGTGTGCTGCTGCTGCTGCTTCTTTCCACCTGGGAGGGATGTTTTTGGAGCTGCCATGAAATACCCCATGTCCTTCTTCAGAAGCTAAGAATGCTTTGCTTAGTATCTGGTTTCAGCTTTTGTGACTATCTCTAACCAGGGATTTAAAAAAAAAAGTCTTTTTTGCTAATGTGAGGTATCTATCCTAGTTTGAAGAATTATCCTGACACTGGTGCTTTTCATACTTGGGACTTAAACTCCATTTAATCATGACAAGTGAACATTTATTATAAAATGCTATTTAAAAAAGTAAAACAGGTTGTGTTTTTAACCTATTTGTTGCTTAAAAAGAATTCTAGTTTGGTTGCTTCTTTAGCTCTGCTGGTCTTTTTGAGGCTATCCTGCTTTTTCAGCATTTAGTAGTACTACTAGTATTTACTACCGTAAGTATGTGAAAATATATCCATTGCGTTTTATATTTGATTATTGAGAGAGGTGTTAAAATGACTGAGTT